TAATACTTACTATTTATAATTATTATTATTATAATCAATAATATTTTATATTTATGAAATTAATATAAAAATTAAAATTAGTTATAATTTATATTTTAATATTTAATATAAATATATTTTTATATTTAATATAAAATATAAAATTCATAATAAATTTCATAATATTTTTAAATATATTTCAGAAGATTAATATTCTATTGTTGTTATATAGCACTTTTATATTTATAACTTTATATTTATAACTTTTATATTTAAAAGATTTAAAATAAATGAAGTTTTGAAATATTAATATGTAAAAAAAATTAATAAAAAAAAGTAGATGTTATATATTTAATTATTTTTTCTTTTAATGAATAATGCTTATTATTATTTTGTCTTATTATTATTTAAATTATATAATCTGTGTTATGGCAAAATCGACTGTATAATGACTTTGAGAATTAAAGTTTTCTTTCTTTCTTCAGTATAAAAACAGGCTTGTGTCTTAACATTTTCAGCTGTAACATGCTTGCTTGCATATGTGTAGATTGTGCACGATCCCCAAAAGACAAGAGAAGCCGTGAGAGCAGAGATTCAGAACACAGGACCAACCATGATAGGAGTAGTGGAGAAGTAAGAATATTTTCAATAGAAATTTTAAAGTATATTAATTTAATTAATATAATTGAGAAATATTAATTCTTTCTTTTTAATAAATTCAAATGTTACAATAAAATTTCTAATCATATATTATTATAAATATAAATTAACAATTTAAAGTAATTAATAAATAAAATAATTTATTTGAATTTTAATGTATTATTATGAATTTATTGAATTTTTTCCTAATTCTATTTTAAATATTTTTTTGTTTATTTTTTTAATATTTAATATTAAAAACAATTAATATTATGAAACAATTTATATATATCATTTCTTTGAATATTCTTTAATAATTATGAACCATAGATTTATGAACCATAAAAATATATATAATATTGTATTTCATATGTAATATTTAAATGGTTTTTTTTAATTGA